CACACATATATACAGACAGACAGACAGACAAACACACACGCACGCACGCACATACAGACATGCAAAAACACACAATCACACAGCCCCTCTGCCCCCTCCCCAACACGCACCTGGTTGTGGAGGAGGAGGCCGCTGCCCCAGAGCATGCCGAGGAGAATGCCTTGCTGCAGCACAAACCCCTTCAGCACGTGGTTATGGTACCAGTGGCCAAGCTCGTGTGCAACAACAGCGGTGATCTGAGGCACGGTGCAGCCTTTGCTATCGCTGCTGCTGTTGGTCGCTGCTGCTGCCGGCACCGCGTCCTTGGGCACGCCAGAGTCCGGGCCCATGAGTGTATCGAAGAGCACAATGCGCTTGTTCTTGAAGAAGCCGAAGAAGTAGGCGTTGCTGTGGGCAGAGCGCTTGGAGCCCTCCACCACCAGCAGCTTGGTGAGCGGAAAGTCGAGGGAGGATGCAAGCGCCTCGATGGCGGTGCGCAGGGGGCCGGTGGGGAGGTCGGTGTACTTGTCAAAGAGCGGGGCGATGAAGTCTGGGTAGACGGAGATGGTGAAGAGGCTGAAGAGCATGGAGAAGAGCCAGGCGTAGAAGTAGAAGGCGTCCCCGGCCCACACGATGATGCGCACAAAGGCCGGCACAAACATGAACATGAGCACAGACGTGAGCACAGTCCCCTTCAGCTGGTCCTTGATGAAGAAGCCTGCAGTCTGCACACGTGCGTGTACATGTGTATGAATGAATGTGTGAATGAATGAATGAATGAATGAATGTGTGTGTGTGTGTGTGTGTGTGTGTGTGCGCGTGGGTGTTTGAGTGCGTATGTACGTGAGTGCATGCAGGTGTATGCGAGTGTGTGTATGTGTGTATATGTGTGTATGCGCGTGCGAGTGAGGCAGATGGCAAAAGCAGCATTGCATGTGCCTTCTTCCCGAACACCCCCTATGCACACATGTGCACCGCAGCAGTGCATGTTCCGTGTGCACCTGTTTGTTGAAGCCGTGTTTCTGCTCGAGGACAAAGGTGTGGTAGATGGTCCATGGGAGATGCATGATCTGATCAGCAAAGGTCATGATCTGGAAGAAGAGGAACGCGTGCAGCCCCGGAGAAGCGGATGCCTCAAAGCCGGCCCACTCAAGCACGTTCGCAGAGACACCCCACACGAATGGCAGCCACCCAAGCACAAGCTTGGCCATGGACGTGGTGAACGAAAACGCATTGTGCCTACATGTTGTGTGTGTGTGTGTGTGCGGTGTGCGTATGTGTGTGTGTGTGGGCGTGTGTGTGTGCGTATGTGTGTGCGTATGTGTGTACGTTTGAGCGCAATGGTGCGGTGAGTGGCGGGTGATGGCAGGCAGTGCAAGATCTAGGACAGAGGCAGGCACACAGACACAGACACAGACACAGCCACAGGTACAGACACACACACACATACATAGACAGACAGACACACACATACACACACACATACACACACACACATACACACATACACACAAAACGATAGCTGCACTCACCAGAAAGCAAAGTTGAGACGGTCAAGGCGGTAGTTGCGGGCCTTCACAAAGTCGGACTGGGTCATCAGGGCAGAGAAGCGCTCAGGCAGGGTGTCCACGCGCGTGGCGGCGACGCGCCGGCTGTGCACGTACACCTCATCAAACAGGTACAGCGCCGTGGGCACGGCCACGCTGAAGGCAAGAAAGGGGCGGCTCTGCGCCCACTCCACCACACTCGCCACAACACTTGTCAGCATATCCGCTGGTGGTGATCAGTGTTGTTGTTTGTTGGTTGCGGGCTGTTAAAAGTGGTCAAGATGGTGTACTCCTTTCTTTCCTCACATTCCTTGTCCTTCATTGGTTTCATTGGCGCAGACGGGCGAGCAAGCAAGGCATTGGCTGTACAAGAGGAGAGAGACAAGGCAGGCAGGCAAGGTGACGCGGGAAGCAACTCAGAGAGGGGGAATTCACGGTGGGTGGCAACACGTGTCGCATCACACACACACACATACACGCACGCACAGAACACACGCACACACACACATACACACAGAACACAGAACACACACACACACGCACACACATACACGCACACGCACACACACACACGCACACACATACACGCACACACAGGCACACACACACAGGCACACACATACACGCACACACAGGCACACACACACAGACAGGCACGGGTTCATGTGTCACGCGGCGTGCTGTGGGCGGGAGAGGGCAAACTGCATGACGGCGCTGTCCTCTGAGAAGCGAACGATGAGATCAATCCTCTCGCCCTTTGACACCACAAACGGCTTTGGCTCGTCGCCCTCGTTGTCGAGGTCCTCCACCAGCTGCAGCGCCTGGCCCCACTGCATGTCCCGCGCAAAGTTGTCCTTTGTTGCCTCGGGCTCCGTCGACATGACCTGCTCGTGGTGTGGCGGAAGGAAATGGGGGGGGGGGTGCCGGACGTCCGGGGTGAGCACAAGATGTGGCAAGGAGTTTGGGGGAAGAAAGGCAAGTATGGACAGATGGGACAGGCGCATTAGATATAAACGCACGCAATCATGTCATAGCAGGTGCACACACACACACACACACACACACACACACACACACACACACACACACACACACACACACACACACACACACACACACACACACACACGCACACACACACACACACACGCAGTGACACACCAGCTGCTCGTCCTTGTCGCCGTATGCCTCCCAATATGTGAGCACGGCATCCACGGTGCCGTCTGCCTCGGCAACAATTGGGATGATCACCTCTTCGCCAAGGGAGCCTGGCCCATCACGGGTAAAGTCAACGTCGCACACCTGCTGCTTCGCAACAAGCAGGTCGTGCTTGACAGAGCTGAAGCGGAACCCATATTGCTTAGTGAACACCAGTGACACCGTGTCCTGGAGTGCGTTGAACTCGTGCAGATCAAACCCTTCCCACTTCTGCACGGAGGTGATTTGCCGCAGCTCGTTGGACTGCACGAGGGAGATGAACTGGCGCCCGGCCCGCGGGATGATGGCCGCGTCCTTCTTCAGCAGCCGCCGGCGCGCGTCCGCCACAAACTGCAGCGCGCTCTCGCCCAGCAGCAGCGTGCCCAGGATCTCCGACACGAGCACATCGCAGCGCTCCGGAAAGTCGTGGCCAACGTGCACGTTGGTGGACAGCTTGTTGATGACGGTGATCTTGTCTTGGAGGTTGTTGGCGCGGATGATCTTGCGGGCCAGCGCTGCAAGGTGGCGGTTGGCCTCGATTGTGTACACGTGCTTGGCGCCAGCGGAGGCCGCAAGCATGGCCAGCAACCCAGACCCCGTGCCAATCTCGAGCACCACATCGCCAGGCTTCACTTGGCGCGCGAGCGCCTGGCGGTAGAAGTCGTTGCGTTGGCTGTCGTTGAGCATGGCAAAGTGGAAGTCGTTGACGGCCTCGACGAGGGAAGCACACTTGTCCTCAAGCCGGCGTGGGATGTAGAAGTGCTCATCAAGGTCTGTTCCAAACACATCCTCATCCCCGCCCTGGTTGTCAGCCCCCGGCGGCACCCATCCGTTGTGTCGCCCGGCCTTTCCTGCGTTGCGGGCATCGCCATCGTCATCATAGTCATCACCGTCGTCATCGTAGTCGTCATCGTGGCCACCATCCTCGTTGTAGTCATGATCATCGTCATCATCATCAGCGTTGTCTTCATCGTCAAAGTCCTCATCCTTGAGATTGTGGGAGGGCAACGCGGCCTGCTCATGCCGCAGCTCCTGCAGCTCTTCCTCGAGCAGATCCGTGGGCTCTTTCCTCGTTGACATGGTTCGCTGTGGTGTGTGGTGATGTGGAGATCGGAGTGTGTGCGTGGATGTGGGCGTGCGTGGACGTGTATGCGTGGATGTGTGTGTGCGCGCGCGTGGATGTGTGTGAACGAGGTATGATGTAGTTTGGGCGTGTTGTTGGTGCACGTGGGTGGTGGGGAAGTGCGCAACAGCGGCGATGTTTGGGTGCGTTGCAAATTGCACTGCATACAGCGTGTCATTTGCCAATTGCACCTCCGAAGTTGTGAAGTTGTGTGTGCTCGAGGTGAGGAAGAGCCACAGTGGTGGTTGGTGGCGGCGTGGACACACTGGCGCCTGCGCTGTGTGTTGTGGTATGACACACATGTCAGCTCTCATTTTCTTTCTTCTCTCGTGAGCGCGCGCGCGCGCGCGCGTGTGTGTGTGTGCGTGTGTGTGTGTGTGTGTGTGTGTGTGTGTGTGTGTGTGTGTGTGTGTGTGTGTGTGTGTGTGTGTGTGTGTGTGTGTGTGTGTGTGTGTGTGTGTGTGTGTGTGTGTGTGTGTGTGTGTGTGTGGATTGGTTGTTTTGCGTGCATGTACAACCAACCAAGCAACCCGCCCTCTCTCTCTCTCTCTCTCTCTCTTCCACATGCACAGCACCATCGCCTGTCACCACCATTGACTCACATACAAACCACACGCGTGCACACGATTGCCTGATTCTGTGCTGTAGACGTGACGCTGGCGCCCCTAACGACTTGCTTGTCTCTTGCTTCCCGATTGAGGGTCGCTCAACCGCTGTTCGCTGCTGCATCCGCCCGCTGCCTCCGGCCTCAAACACGAGCCTTCCTCCAGCCCGCATTCCCGCGTTCTGTGCCAACCCGCACTGTCCCATTCTTCTCCACTGCGAGCAAACTGTCCAACACCAGCAAGATGAGCGACACCAAGCCCGTTGTTGTTTTTGTCCTGGGCCCACCTGGTGCCGGCAAGGGCACTCAGTGCGAGCGCATTGTGGACGTAAGTCGTGTGTGTGTGTGTGTGTGTGTGTGTGTGTGTGTGTGTGTGTGTGTGTGTGTGTGTGTGTGTGTGTGTGTGTGTGTGTGTGTGTGTGTGTGTGTGTGTGTGTGTGTGTGTGTGTGTGTTTGTTTTTTTGCAATGTGGTGTGTGTTTGCAATGTGGTGTGTGGTTGTGTGTGTGCGTGTGTTTATTCGTTTGTTTGCAATGTGATGTGGTGTGCGTGCGTGTGTGTGTGTGGCCATCCAGCACCGCGTATGACACGCTCTCACCGCCATCACCGCCATCACCGCCATCACCGCGCACAACCATCTTTGATGACATCCATGCATCTGTCCTGAACACCACCAGACGTACAAGTTCAAGCATCTCTCAGCTGGCGACCTGCTGCGCGCCGAGAGGTGTGTGGACACGGTATTACCGGGCACCCTTCTGCTTGTCCGCTGCGATGCCGATTGTTAGCGATTACGACGGTGGTGGCGACTCTCCATCTGCCCTCACAACGTGCTGCTGCAAACCCGTTACTGTGTGCACATCGTCGTGGCAGGAACTCTGGGTCTGAGACGGCCGAGCTGATCAACGGATACATCAAGGAGGGCAAGATCGTGCCTGTCGCCATCACCATCGAGCTCATCCACAAGGTGCGCAGTTTTGTTGAACCCACCAATACATTGAACCAAGCACACGTGGCGAGAACTTGCAAGGGTGGCGGAGATAAGGGGGTGGGTGGGGTGGGCAGGCTGGTGATGTCCCCACACACCAGACAGCTTGACAAGTTATGCCCGCGCACACACGCACACACACACACACACACACACACACACACACACACACACACACACGGTGCTACTGACGACTGGTGCTGGGGCTGTTGCTTGCAGGCAATGGAGGCACATGACGGCAACTTGTTCCTCATCGACGGTTTCCCGCGCAACGCCGACAACTTTGACGGTGAGAGCGGCGCTGCCAGGCGTCTCACACATGAGCGAGCCGATATTGGAATAACGGTTCACACATGCCTTCTGACATATATACTTGTACGTGTACATATGTGGACGTGTGTGTGTGCACATGTGTGTGTGCATGTGTGTGCCCAGGTTGGGCGGAGCGCATGGGAGACAAGGTTGACGCCCGCTTCGTCCTCTTCCTCGACTGCGACGAGGAGGTGATCTCTCTTGCTGATGCGTGCGCCTGTCCGTGTTGTGCGTCATTCATGCGTGTGCCGCACGGCAAGCCACGCTGGCTCTTCCCCCCTCCTCCTCCTCCTCCTCCACACCATCACCGCCATCGTCACCACCACTGTCACCACTACAATGGCCAGACATCGACCCAGCGGTGCCTGCAGCGTGCTGCTAGCAGCGGCCGCGTGGACGACAACGTCGAGTCCCTCAAGAAGCGCCACCGCACATACGAGGAGTCCACAATGCGTACGTTGCCACTGATGTGCGCATGTGTGTGCGTATGTTTGTGTGTGTGTGTGTGTGCGCATGTGTGTGTGTGTGTGTGGTTGTTGGCATGACATTGTTGATTTTTGGGTGTGCTGGTCGTACTTTGGCAACTACAGAGCGCAGTTTGAGCTGTGTGTTGTTCACGCGCTGCAGCCCCAAGCATCACATGCTCACGTGCACTCACACTTCCATGCCTGGGCTCCTCACCGACCAAACCACCACCCCCCCCCCCATGCCGTGTTGACGTGTGGTGCAGCGGTGATTGATCTGTTCCGCAAGGAGGGCATGGAGCGCCGCGTCGACGCCTCCGAGTCCATCGACGCTGTCTGGGAGAAGGTCAAGGAAATCTTCGCAGAGGCTGGCTTCACCGCATAAGCACACACACACACACACACACACGCATGCATGCAGCTGCTGGTGATACATACACACGTGCGGTTGGTTGCATTGGTCAGTGCGTTGAGTTCATCATACAAATGGTTGCCTGTGTAAGCCCCAGCTGTGCCATTTTCCACTCGCTTGCACACATGTGCACACAGTCCTGCCTCACAAAGTTGGCATGCACCGTATTGCGGCCGCTGTTGATTGCCGCTGTATGCGTGTATGTGTGAGCTTGCGTGTGTTCTTTGTTTTGTTTTGTTTGGTCCTCTTGCCTGAACTGCCCCCCTCCTCCTCTTCGCCCATTGTTGAGCTGTGCTGCCTTGTTGTTTGACATGAATCTTCACCACCAGCGATTACACTTTCATACACCACCACATCAGTTGGGTTCAATCATACGTTTATTGCACTGTCCTTCAAGCACGACCAAACATATACACGACATACACAGACACACACACACACAGACACAAACACAAGACAAATGACAAATACACAACATTTACACGACACACACACACACACAGACACACACACACACACAGACGCACACACGCACACACGCACACGCGCACAGGCACAGGCGATTAGAGCAATCCCGCACAACGTCACTGGCCCGGTCTGCTGGTTGAGAAAAGAAGCTGCTTCTTCTTGCTCTTCTTCCCCTTGCGACGGCTGGATGATGACGATGATGATGACGGCGAGGATTGCATGGTTGCCGTCCACGCTCCCCAGTCCTGCAACACAGAATCGCTGTAATTGCGGGGCGCATACGCCTCCTCAAGGTCATACGCGTCCTCAGAGTCGGTGCTCTGCTGCACACCGCCATCGCCGCCAATCACGTGGGACCGTCGCTCCATTGGCGAATGGGCCGCCGTGCGCAATCGTGGGCCCTTTGCTCTCACACGCTGTTGTGCACTGCTGGCGGCGGTGCTGGTGGTCTCGGCATCCCACGCCGTCGCTGGTGGCGCACTCACGTTGCGGTGTGGCTTCCCCCACACGCTGCCCTTCTTCGCACCATCACCACCATCATCACCACCACCACCTCCTCCGTGCTGCTGCTGCCGCTTCTTCGGTGACGATGAGAAGAGCTCTGCACTCAACACGGGGGCATCTGCCATGATGCCCCTGGACACGGCCTAATGCCCGCGCAGAGAATGGTGCAAAGGGTGGTGTGGTGGTGGTGTGAAATGAGGGAGAGCGGTAAGGGACGATGTTCGGGGTGTGTGAGTGAGAGACAGTGAGAGGATGGGAGGTGGGACAAGCAGGAGGAAGTAACAGCAACAAAGTCACAAGTGCAGACAGAAGTGCTGACGCAGGTATTGATTATGGCAGAACAAATGCACACACGTGTACATACACAAGTGGAGGACTCACGGATGAGAAGCGGGATGCTGCGTGACGAGCGTTGTCGTCATCGTCGTGCACTGGTCGCTCCTGTTCAAGATGGGTCGATGACGATGGTGACGGTCATGACGTCGTGAACACACGCGCCCCATCCAACCAAGCACGACTGGCTTCATCTCACAACCGTCGCTTGACAAGAACGCGGTCTAGTGCACTCGAACAAACAAACAAACAAACGGCCACTGAACACACACACACACACACGCACACACGCACACAGACAGGCACAGAGAGACGGACAGACAGACAGACACACACACAGACAGACAGACAGACACATACACACACAGACACACAAAGCACCACATGTGCTGACCTGGGGCTGGGGCAGGAAGTCCTTCAAGTCCTCGACGCGCACGTCATCTGCAGGAACGGCGTATTCGTGCATGAACCGTTGCAAATCCTCACGCTGGCGTGTCTCAATCTCCCGCGCCATCTTGTTCTCCGCTGCCCGTCGCTTGCGCCGCCGCTGCTGTCGTCGCTGGATGTCGCCCGAAAACTGTGCGCGTGTGTCTGCGGAGAGGAGGTGGTGCAGATCGAGCTCAACAAGTTCGTACGACGTGCGCAGCGGCACGTGGCTGCACGGTGGTGGTGTGATGTGATGTGACGTGAATGGACGGTCGAGTTCAGGTGAGGCATCACCAACTACAGGGAAAGACATTACATGCCGACACACACATGAGCACACATGCGCACACAAACGCAGACATACACAGAGACACACAAACACACAGACAGCTGCGCGTGGGCACATACGCGAGGTGCTTGAGACGAGAGCGTGTCGACGAGTCGAGGGCATGTGTCGACACCTCAACCACACGGCCCCTGATGGTGGCGGGGCAGGCAGCCAGGCTGCCGTACTCCTACACGAGGTGTGATTTTGGGATGGGTGCATGAGGTAGGGTTAGGCAAGCAGTCGGGGCGAGTGAAGCAGGGACGACACAGATACGCACAGATACGCACACCCACATACATGCAAACACAAATGTGCAGACACACACACACATACACAGCCTCAGACACACACAGAGCGGGCTGACCTTGATGAGGCACTTGATGTTGAGCGGGTGGAGGAAGATGGGCTGCGTGTCGCTGCTCTGGTAGAAAAACACTGCATCGTCCACGCCAGCAGCAGCGCCAACCCCCGACGAAGGCGCTGGTGGCGACGATGATGACGATGATGGTGGTTGCGTTGCACCTGGGGTTGGCGGCAGCGGTTCGCGCCAGTGCGGCGGAAGGGAAGATTCCGAGGAGCACTGTGCATCATCACCATGGCCACCCGTGCCACGAGTACCATCGTTCCCACTATCCCCACGGGTACCATCACCATCGCCATTTGTGGTGTCGGTGTCGTTGTGGTGTGTCACTGTTGATTGCAGCGATGGCGGTGGCAACAGCGACGACGGAACGTATTCCTCTGCTTGTGGATTCAGTTTGTGTGCCATCGCAACTGGCACAGCCTTCTCTGCTGTATGCTCGTGCCTACCCTTTCTCTCACCAACAGCTGCATCGCGAGCCAACGTTGTTGTCGATGCTGCTGGCTGCTGTACATCACGGTCCGTCGTTCTCCCGTGATCGCGCGCATGTTCGGCTCTCATTCTCTCCACGTCTTCCCACGGCGCCACTGGCAGCAGCTGTGTCGGCATTCTCGCGTCACCACTCCTCTTCCCTTCTTCCGCCTTTGGTGCCGTTGTCGTCTCAAATGCGAGCGCAGCAATGTCGTGCACGTTGGCGTGTGTCGGGAGGTGTGGGTCGCACAGCCGCCACCGCTGTAGGAGGCGAGCACGGGCCGACTGAACAAACGCGTCGTCGCTGTCGACGGTGTCCGCCGTCAGTTCTCGCGCCTCCCGCTGCAGAACATTCAACAGCAGCTCCGCGTCTGTCAGCGGCACCACCTTCAAGTGCTCCGGGCACCGCAGCTGATGCGGAGATAGTGGCGAGGGGGGGGGGGCGAGAGGAGGTTGAGTTGGTTTGAGGACGAAGAAAGGGGCTAATGCATTACTCATTAAAGGTTGGCTCAAACAAACAAACAAACACACACACACACACACACACACACACACACACACACACACACACACACACACACACACAAAAGCACGCATGCGCGGCCAGGACGGCACCTTGAGTGCGGAGACGTCGGCGGGGCCGATGGAGCGGTGTGGCGGGCGCACGGACGACGGCACAACCAGCAGCGACGTGGATGTGCGGCACAGCAGATCCAGGGCCATGGTTGCGTTGGTGGCAGGGTGGTGCACGTGCACCAGCACAACGCTCTTGAGATCCCTGGGGTCAATCAAATCCTCGCACAGCGGGCAGTTGTTGAAGCCACGCGTGGTTGTCGTCAGATGATGCAGGATGCATGACCTGACACGGTGTTTGGTGGGCAGAACGAGAGGGAGGGGGGTGTCTAGTTATGAGCATGGATGTGTGTGTGTGTGTGTGTGTGTGTGTGTGTGTGTGTGTGTGTGTGTGTGTGTGTGTGTGTGTGTGTGTGTGTGTGTGTGTGTGTGTGTGTGTGTGTGTGTACTGGGGGTGGATGGGGCCTTTCTGCAGTCGGCTGCCGCGTGTTGGGCAAGGCGTACGAACACGAGCAAGCGTACCAGCAGAAGACGTGGCCACAGCGGGTGATCTTGGCGGCGACGGGCGGGTCCAGGCAGATGGGGCACGACTGCCGACCACGCGTTCGCATCACCACCTGCAAACACATGAACACACACGGTGGCGTTGAGGACGAAGAGAGAAGGAGGTGGGTCAAAGTTGCAGGCAGACACACGATGCACACATACATACATACATACATACATACATACATACATACATACATACATACATACATACATACATACATACATACATACATACATACATACATACATACATACATACATACATACATACATACATACATACATACATACATCCATACATACATACATACATACATACATACATACATACATACATACATGCACTCATACAACAGCACCACCAGACATGCAAGCGACCTGCTCGATGATGTTCCAGTCAATGGGTTCGTCTGGATCAAGGTAGCACGCCGAGCAGTTGACGGCCTGCCGCACGTAGAATCGACACGTGGCCTGGATATACTGCTCCTTGGTGAGCGGCTCCACGTACTTTGGGCGGCGTCTCGCCTCGCGCACCTCCTCGCTCCAGCGCGCGCGCGAAAGGTGTTGGCGGAGGCTGCGGGCAGACACCCCGCGTGTCTCATACACAAAGCCAAGCAGGTCGCTGGCGCTGGCCTTTCGGCCGCCGCTGCTGGTGACGACATCCACGCCACCGCTGCCGCCGCGGCCTTGTTGTTGCTGCTGGTGGTGGGGGTGTGGGAACGGTGCCTTGGTCTTCTTCTTCTTGTTCTTCCTCTTGTTCTTCTTGGCAGAGGAGGTGGCGGTGGTGGTGGTTGCAGTGGCGGCGCTCGCCAGTGGATCGATAGGGCTGTCTGCGCTGTCGTCGGCAGACTTGGGCGGCTTGGTCTGCGGCTCCCGTGGAGAGGCCATGGATGAAGCGTTTGCTGGACGCAGGCCTCGGGCCGTTGGTGCGATGCCGTCACCTTTCTTCTTCTGCTCCCGCTTCTGCTGCTTGCGCTGTTGTTGCTGTTGCTGCTGTTGCTGCTGTTGTTGCTGTTGCTGATTGCGACGCCCACGGTTGCGCGTGTCTTTCCCCGACGGAGCGCTATCGATGTTGTGTGCATGTGTGTGTGTGCGTGCATGTGTGTGTGTGTGTATGTGTGTGTGTGAGTGTGTGAGTGTGTGAGAGAGAGAGATAGTGTGTATGTGAGCATAATATGGTGCATGTGTGCATATATGCATACAAAGGGTTGCCAAGCAAGCATCGTGTGTGTTGTTGCATTCAAAGGGCATGTCACTTACGAAGGCGTCGGTCCTCCGAACTGAGAGAATGACGAGGGAGGCGCCGACGGCGATAGCGAAGATGAGGGAGTGCTTCCTTTGTGCATCATGTTGTCATTGACATCCATCACCACACGCGTGTAAGTGCTGGGCAGACCGTTGTCGCCTGTGTTATGCAACGCTGTGGCGCTGGGAAGAAAGCAGGCCGCAACAGATCACCGTGAGCACACAGAGGACAGGTGGAAGGGCGTGGATACAAAGCCAACTCAAGTCGTTGGCTCAAAGCAGCCCCAGTTTGGCTTCTTGAACGCGTGTCAGGTGCTGACGGTGAGCCCAGGTCCACGATCATCAGCAGCAAAAGAAGCAAGACAGACAAGAACAGAGGGGGCTGTAACTGCTGCTTGTTTGTTGCGCGCTGTTCTTCTTCTCTTCTCTTGCTTGCTTCTTGTTTTGTTGTTTGGATTTGTGTGTGTGCTTTGTGTGCTTTGTGTGTGTGTGCTGTGTGTGTGTGTGTGTGTGTGTGTGTGTGTGTGTGTGTGTGTGTGTGTGTGTGTGTGTGTGTGCTTTGTGTGCTTTGTGTGCCTTTGTCACCCATCCTGCGCCCTCCTCTTGGCCAGGCATGTCCGTTCGTGTGTTCGTGTTCGTGTGTGGTCGACCTGATGTGTTACGGCGATGGCCAATGTCATAACGGGAAACGGGAATGAGAACAAGAGGAGCGGTGACGAACGGTACTCAGGGGCGAGATGTAACAGACCAGAAGGGACACGGCACGCGGGTCCGAAGAACGCAGCGGATTGACGAAGGGCAAGGAAGGGGAGGGAGGGAAAGATGAACGAAAGGCGAGGGAAAGATGAACGAAAGACGAGCGAGGGCGATGGTTGGTGATTCACACAGACAGACACAGACAGACAGACAGGTAGACGACATGGCATGCAAGCTGTTCTTGCAGTTAGAGGTTGCGGAGAACGGCGCGAATGTGCTTGATGGCATCATCATTGTGAGCGAGGGACCAGTGGGAGCCGGCAACAGCGGTCGGAACAAGCGCAGTCGTCGTCGCGCGCAGGTGGTCTGCAGGCGGTGTAATGCATGGTGGTGAAATGAATGAGAGGTGGTGATGGTGTGGGTGGTGATGGTGAATAGGGTGTGCAATGGCAATAAAACGCGCCCGAGTACTCTCGGCTGGCAAGATGACAGGCAACAAACAGGACGGTTCGTCACAGAGCTGCAGGAGCCGCGTACGTTGGAGGTTGGTGGTGTACGTCTCCTCCTGTGGAATGAGGGCGGAGCAAGGAATCCCGTGCTTGAGGGAAGCGAGGTGCTCATCTGGTGACAGCACATCGAGGGGGTAGAACATTTCAAAGTCTGTTCGCTTCAGCTTGGTGTAGTCGTTCTTCTCCGAGCCATACAGCCACAGCGCAACATCACGCTTCATCAGGAACCCGTCCACCTGAGTGGAGGAATGCAGAGCAGGGAGATAGGATCAGTTGAGTCGGTGTGCGTGCGTGTGTGTGTGTGCGTGCGTGTGTGTGTGTGTGTGTGTGTGTGTGTGTGTGTGTGTGTGTGTGTGTGTGTGTGTGTGTGTGTGTAGTGTGTGTGTGTGTGTGTGTGTGTGTGTGTGTGTGTGCGTGCGTGTGTGTGTGTGTGTGGTGCCGTGGTCATGCTGTTGTTCAAGGGTGTGATAGCGGGTTGGACGAGCCAGCCAGCCACGCTGTTGACGCCATGCTTGCAAACATCGTCTTACGGCTTTGGCGACGCCTGCGAGGCGCGGGGAGATGGAGACGAGGTCCGGCTGGATGGCAACGGCAGACGCGTTGACAGCGGCGGCGGAGCGAAGCGAGACGAGCGATGCCTGCAGCTGGTGCATGATACCCGTGCCCACGGGGCCAAACGGGTACAGCAGTGGCGCTGTGGAGGTGTTGGTGAGGTCGTGATGTGGTGGTGAGTGGGGCAGGAGAAGGAGCAGGAGAAGGAGCAGGAGAAGGAGCAGGAGAAGGAGCAGGAGAAGGAGCAGGAGAAGGAAGGGACTGCAGGACGAGGAGGTTGAGGTACAGAAGCAACCACAAGAAAAGTGCGAGGAAGGCATGCACGTGGACACAACACGGGCAGAAGCGGAAATACATGACGGCACCGCTCCAAAGCTGCATCCATGCACGCGCTTACAGAGGAGGACGACGTGGCCTGCGCGCAGGAGCGAGCGGAACTCCAAGTCCTCGTGCATGAGCTTGAGGATATGGCCGGTGGTGAAGCCGTGTGCAACGATTGCCAGCTGATACGAGCGGTGGTTGTGGCTCCCGTTGTTGTGCTCCTTGTCGAGCACCTTGTTCGCAGTATGGTATTTGGGGGGGGGCAGTATGAGGAATAGATGCACAAAGAAGTTCACGGAGGCAAGATGCGCAGCGTGAAAATGCATGGCTTTGTGCATGACGCATATTCTTGTCGTCACAGACAGATGGACAGACAGACAGACAGACAGACAGACAGACAGACAGACAGACAGACAGACAGACAGACAGACAGACAGATACACAACATGCAGCCCTACGTGGTGGATAAAGCCGAAGAGCCTGCGCTTGAATGCAGCATGAGAGACGGGGATGATGCTGGCAATGAGGGACGCGTTGAAGGCGTACGCCGTGCTGGCCTTTGCTGCTTCGCGAACCAGCGGATACAGGGATGCCTCGGAACAATAGGCGTCGGCAATGAAGAGGCTCACGTGTTTCGAATCGCTACCGTGCACCCTTGAACCGCCCAGCCCAATCGCATGCACACATTGGTGTTTGCTTGGATGAGCTTGCGCAGGTGGCGAATGAATAGTGCAAGCAAGGCAGCGTGCTCGGCCGGTGCTCTGCCCGTGCTTGATCCATGGCACGTGGGCATGCGAGTGGGAAGAGCAGTGCATCAGCGGGCGACACGCACGTAAGCATTACTCACTTGTACGAGAACTCTGCCTTGGCGGTGCGGCTGAACATGTTTCGGCGTGGGCTGAACTCCCTGCGATCCACATCACACATCATACAACACACAACACATGGTGTTGCGTTAGCTTGACGTCGCCCAAACGTGGACAAGCCGGGTGGGGCCAGGCGTATACATGCAAGCGTTAGAGGAAAGCAACTATCGTAAACGTGTTCCACGGCCACGCTTCACGTTCGCATGAATTCACACACATACACGCACACACATACACGCACACACACATACACGCACACACACATACACATACACCCGCACACACATACACAAATACACACACACACACATAGACAACACGTGTCAGTGCATGTGTGTGGAAGGGACTTGCTTAGTTGCGGCAGCTGGACACCAAGGTCCAGGGTGTGAACTGCCGGGCGGAGGAAGCGTCTCTGGCATAAGCATGCCGCGAAGGGTCTCATCGAGCTGCAGTGGGACGTTGGTCAGGAGGAAGACGACGGAGAAGAGCAGAAACGCGCCATAGAACATGTACTTGAAGGTGCCCAAGAGCGACTGCCAAAGAAGGGACGGGGTTGCCTTTTGCGGCCGCAGGTCGTCAATTGGAACGTCGTCCTCGTCCCTGCCACCGGCGCTGCGCGACGCAGCAGCCGCCTTCTTCACCTCCTTCGCCTTCTCGGTCTCTGCGTTGGGATCGTCAGAGCTCACTTGGCCCGGCAGCATCCACTTGGCCGAGCCCTTCTGCTGCCTGCCGTGCTTCAGGTGCGCCGTTCTCCTCAGCCGTGCAGCACGGGCCTGGCTCGCCCACGATTTGGACGCACGCTGTGACCGCGGCTGTGGCGTCGGCGTCGTTGCAGCATCCCCGCCTTCCTCCTGTGGCATGGCTGCTACTCGCTCGGTGTGTTGCTTGCTTGTTTGCTTGGTGTCGATCGTTGTGTAGCCAGCGGGGGCCAGCGGTCGCGGTTGGATGGCGACAGCACAAAAATTGAGCAAGCAGCGTATGTGTGTGTGTGTGTGTGTGTCCACCATCCCCTCATGTAGCTGCTGCTGTTCGCACACGCATGACACTTCCATTGCCTGTTCATCAAATGTTCACTGTCAACCATGAAGACTATACACACGAAAGACATCGCCAGCACCACCAGCTACGCTCTGTGTTGAATCGGCGCGCAAAGACACCACACACACACACACAAAACAAAGCAGAGCAGATAATTCCAAATACAGTCATCATGCATTCATGTCAATACCATCACGAAAAAGCAATGCTAACGTAGTACGAAAGACAGGTCGCAAAGGCACGTCCACAGAGTCATGGATGTAAGTACAGAAGGGATAAAAGAGGGGCGTGCGAGAATGTAACAGGGCCAAGCAACAGCCAGGTCAGCGCGTAAGCATGCAGGCGTCACACGCACGTCGCAACAGTAGTCGCTTGCCACGACACACAACACAGCGGCACAAAACGGTACCGTAAGCACTGTAACAATGTCACCACGCCCACGTGACCGGGCGTGCTAGGCGCGCTTGACAGGTTCTGGTGCGTCGCTTTCGAGGCGCGTGGCCAGGCCAGGGTACTTGCGCCCCTGGAACTTGGCAATCACGTCATCCAGATACCGTACACGGAGCGGCCCTGTGGGAGGAGAGCGAAGAGGTATGTGTGTGTGCGTGTGTGTGTGTACGTGTGTGCGTGTGTGTGTGTACGTGTGTGTGTGTGTGTGTGTGTGTGTGTGTGTGTGTGTGTGTTTGTGTTTGTTTGTTTGTTTGTTTGTTTGTCGAAAAGCCACCTGCTCCAAAAGCAGACAGAAAGCGAGGCACGCAGGCAGGTGTGCCCACGAGTAGGCAAACAAATCACCAACACCGAAGCTGGCAATCCAAGCAAGTACGCAACGAAAACTGTAAGAAAGGAACGTACGGTCGTTGAGTGTCCAGTCCTCGTCGATGTCTCGCACGAGAAGATGATGGAAGAAGCGGCGGTCGTGCGTGTATGAGACGACGAACGTGACACTGTCGACCCCAACTTCGCGCTCCCGCACCAGGAATCGCCCGCTCGCCAGCCCACGCTTCTTCAGTTCAGACTCCGCCTCGCTCCGGGAGAGTTTACCACGCAGCCTGAAGAAGGTGAAGGGGAGTTGAAGAGGGGGGGGGGGGGTTGAAGGGGCGGAGGTAAAGGAGGGGGTAAAGGAGGCAGGTTCGGGCAATGGTGGTTGGTGCTCGGAGTGAGTGAGTGGCTGCATGCATGCGGGCACATAAGAGCATGCACTGGCAGAGGTGTACGCAACATACCATGATGGTGGCTGTTTTGGATTACGAAGGTAGTCCTCACGGCGCAACCGCTGTGATGTGGACGCGCGTGCATTGCCGTCCAACTTCATCGAGCGGCCACCGCTGCAGTGCACAAGACATGATGGGGACAGAGCGAAAAGGGGAGGGTGGTGTGGACAAGTGTGCATGAGCATAGCTCTTCGGGTCAAGTGGCCTTGCTTGAATGACAGAGTTTGAAGGAGGAAGTGGAGAAGCAGTGGTGGGCATGTGCGAGATTGCGCTTGCGACTCACGTGGGGAACACCGGGTTGGCCATCTGTCAACGATTCCGAGCAATACAAGACATGTTTGCGGAAGTGAGGGTTGAAACAACACAGAGAAAGTGGTGTCCACGAATCGAGACTGGCTAATCACAAATGCACTCGACCCGCCAGAGGCACAAAGGTGCACATACACAAACACACACACACACACACACACACACACACACACACACACACACACACACACACACACACACACACACACACACACACACACCATCTCTCTCTCTCTCTCTCTCTCTCTCTCTCTCTCTCTCTCTCTCTCTCTCTCTCTCTCTTACGTTGGCGTTTCCAAAGCCAAGTCTGAGGTCGTGCAGTGCGTCGAGTGGACGTTGAAGCCGATCATTCGCAGGACTCAGCGGTTCCTCGCCGTAAAAGTCCACCAAGTCCTCCAATGTCCCGAAATCCTCGTCGCTGCCCAGAACTTGATAGCCCACCTGCGGCGATGGTGTGGAACAATTGGTCGATTGTTAGAGATTGAGTGCACGTGTGTGTGTGTGTGTGTGTGTGTGTGTGTGTGTGTGTGTGTGTGTGTGTGTGTGTGTGTGTGTGTGTGTGCATGATGGTGGTACATCGCAACACCCAATGCGTCGTGTGTGTACATGTGTGTGTGCACATGTACACATACACATGTACACAACAGCAATACACGCACACACACGCATGTACACACACGCATGCACACAACAGCAACACACACGTGCCCTTACGCCCGTGTTGATGCGGTAGTGTTTGCAGCGGCCGTTGACTTTGACGGAAATTGCATAATTCCTGCTCGTCTCCGACACGCGAATGAGAAATGTGCCATCTGGCTCCTCAAACAGAAACTCCTCCGCTTCACCACGCGACATGAGGCCGTGGAACCACGTGTGCACACGTCCGTGCGCGTCAAGATGCGCGCGCCGCTGCGTGTGTATGTGTGTGTGTGTGTGTGTGCGTGTGTGTGTGTGTGTCAACAGCGTCGACAGTGAGGAGACAGAATTGAGGCTGCGGCCGCAAATCATGACCAGCGACACCTCCTTTGTTCCCAAGAGCAACACGAACAATTAATTGCAGGCGTGCAGATTTGCGTTCGTACCGGCTTTTCGTATTTCTTCCACCACCTGAGGACATCCTTCTGCTCCTTCGCGTGCGTTTTCCGCAGTTTCCGCATGTCCACGTCCTTGTGCGCTTCTTTCAACATCTGCGCACGCAAGGTGGTGAGGGAAGTGGTGAGGGAAGCCAAAGAGACGCCACACAGATGACAACCGCTGTAACATGAACATAGCAGCGGCAGGCACATCAACAGCAGCAGCAGCAACAACAACATCAGCCACAGCAGTTGCAACTGTGAAGCACAGCAGCGCACCTTTCGTTTTTCCTTGTTCTCCTTCTTCTTGTCCACGGGTGTTGCGATGCCCAGATCTTCGGGCCCGCGTCGCTCCTCTTCCTCAACCAGCGTCTGGCGCGTGTGTGCGCGCGTGTGCGTGCGTGTGTGTGAGTGAGCGAGGGGCCGAAGACACACAATAACATTCGCAACAGTGTCAGGTTGAAGAAAGTATCGCAAACACCTTCAACACTGAACAGAAACACCCGTCCCCACACAGTGTTGTCGTTGTACCTCGAGTGCCAGAAACGTCTGGTGTCCACGGCTCTTCATGTCGTGCAGGAAACTGACGGCCATCGCAAGCTGGTCGCGGTACGCTTGCTGTTTGTGGACACACGCAGGCCAGACAAGAATTGAGGGAGAGTTGAGGGGTAGCGGTGGTCAGGGGGTGACAAGGGCCTGTCGAAGCCAAAACAACAGCAAAGCAGAAGCGCACGTCGCAAATCGCACCCAAATCAGGGCGTGTGCGCACATACTCGCACCGACATGTTCACACACACACACACACAGACGCACGCACACACACACACACACACATACACACACACACACACACAGACGCACGCACACACACACACACACACACACACACACACACACACACACACACACACACACACACACACACACACACACACACACACACACACGGGCGCGCGCGCGCATGAGCAATAGCAACGCACCAGCCTCGGCCGGAAGCGTTTCTGCGCGAGAAAGCGGCGGACCCAGGACTGGATACGAACAGCGGCAATCTTGGAGTCGAGCAACAGCGCATCCAACACATCCGGGTGCCAGTACTTCAGAAACACCTTCGTCTTTGCAATCAGCCATCCAGACAGGCTGGAGGTCTGCACAGACGTGTAGTGTGTGTACGTGTGTATGCGTGCATGTGTGTGTGTATTTAGGTGAATGAAAGGGTCAGTGATGAGAGAGACAGGAGAACACAATGACTTCCAACACGACATTTACACATGCAGACATGGATGCACATGCAAGCCACGGAAACGCACCAGTTTCTGGTCTTGTCTGTTTGCCTCCTGCTTTTCGGCGCACTTGATGAGCAGCTCCTCTGCGACGCCTTTGGTGTACTTCATCTTGTCGCTGAACTTGAACACAATCCCTTGGTAGCTGCAGGTGCACAGGTCACACACCGCCAAGACAAAGATTCCACTCAGCGATAGCAGTTTGAAAGCATGGGCTGCAATCATTTAACCATCACACCCCCACATGTGCACACACGCACGCACACGCACACACACACACACACACACACACACACACACACACACACACACACACACACATACACATGTCCACCACATGCACACACGCACGCGCACGCACACCAACAAACAAACAAAGAAACAAAGCGAAAGAGCCGACCTTGAGATGAGCTCCTCGAAGGACATGCGGACGGAGAATCCCTCGCGTCGCATCTTGATGGTCTGCAGCATTCCCGTGTACTGCATCTGCTTCAGCACAAGCGCATCCTCTGCACGCGTGCACACGCGCATATGGTTGTGTGGGTGTGCGTATGTGTGAGTGTTTGTGAGGTCAGCCGCACGGTGTGGTGGTGCGTCAGTTTGTCATCAGCGCGTGGACACGACACATGTGCATTACGTTGGATGTCTTCGCAACAGCGCTCACCGTACTGCCGCGGCATCTTGTTTGGGTTCGGCTTGATGCAGCGCACAAAGTGGGGCGAGCAGAGGCTCATCTTGTACATGAGCGCATCCAGGGACTGCTTGAACTGCGAGCTCACCGTCTCCACCTGAGCAGTCGTGCCGTCACGAGGGCGTGACGAGTCAGAGATGACGAGAAGGATAAAGAAGAGCAGAAACGATGACGCGTCACACACACACACACACACACACACGCACGCACGTACATACACACACACACGCACGCACGCACGTACATACAGGCACACGCACACGCACGCACGGCACGTACATACACGCACACACACACACACATGCAGTACATACGCGGACACGGACACATCCAGTGCGTACGTTTGGGCGCTTGAAAGTGCGGGCGATGCGGCCAAGAAGACCCTTGTTCGTGTCTGGGTTTTCAAATCCAAGGTCGGCGGCTTGCTTCTTCACAGACTTGTGCTTGACTGTCGCAGCGCGCGTGATCCTGGACACGTGGCGCGGGAAATACATGCACGTAGAACGGCGTGAATGGACATCGTTTGCAGAGGGGGCAAAATCAGTAACATGGGGTGCGTGCGTGTATGAGAGTTTGTTCATGGCGTCACAGCCCGTCCAGCAACCCTGATTGTTGAGTGTGTACGTCACGTCATCATCATCATCATCATCATCATCATCATCATCATCATCATCATCATCCCAGTACCTGCGTGTCGTTTGGCGGGAGAGTTCACGCGTGAGTTCGCGTGCGCGTGTGCGTGCGGCGCCTTTCCGCGTTGCGCTGACGAGATTGTGATGGAACAGCAGCGATACGAGTGCGTTTGTGCTCGTGCTCATCGAACTGGCCATCTGTTGACACGCGAAAGGGCAGGCAGGCGGGATGAGGTGAGGTGGGAGGTTGAGGGCAAGTGTGTGCATGGTAATTATGCACGTGAAAACCGTGTGGACAGGCTGATGATTCAATCTGTTCATGCAGAAAGGCGTCAAAACTGGCAGCACATCAACCAGCGAGCGAGGACAGGTCATGTCCACTTTCCACTTCCAGTTTGCGCATGCGCGATAGATGCCATCGCCATCACCACAAGACACTCACCGCCTCTGGAAGAGGGTCCTTGTTCTTCTCGATGAGCCCGTCGATTTCGTATGCGATTGGGCCTGCGTAGTGCTTGATCTCAAAGCTT